TTAACCAAATGGGTTTTGTAATCACAATCTTGGTTTGTATTTAAACTATGGTAGCTTGACCAATGCTTGATAAGCTAGTAGTTAGTTGTTTGTACTTTCAATGCCATGATTCTACAGTTTTGAATAGTCTATTTGGATTCAGCAGCCTAAATATCCTAAATACCCAAAATAGCAGTCTTGCTAGTCTATGTCTAAACTTTTGACTTAGCAACATGAGAAGTTTAGGATATCTCCCTTTTGTTTTTGTGATTCAACAGCCCGAAGTTGCAAAATTTTTAATGGAACCTTTGAGCTATATCTCTCGGGATTGACACTGCATGGAACAAAGATAAATATTGGAGGGCAAATTGATAACAACTCTTCCAGGAGAATTGGTTCAATTATAATCTGCAGCCTCATCTATTGCTCACTGCGCTTCCTTGGTTTCACTACATATCATCCTCAAACTCTTCATTTTTGTCAAAGAGTGCTCAATTAGAAGTCTCTTGCACTTGAGTTTTTCGCATGAATTGAACTTGCGTCAAACAAGACTCATCTGTACTGTCTAATGTTGGAACATTAGTAGCACCAACATTTCACATTATTCGAGGATTATGTTGTCATAGGAGTCTAGCCCTGGAAAGTGCAGATGCTGAAGATGTCAACAGCTTTATCTATTATATTATGTAAGATGCCTAGAGAGTTATTACAACCTTTTAATAGATCTGTCCGTATTAGTAATCAATAGCAAACATATATACCTCTTGAGGACCCATCATGTCAGCAAGTACCACTCATCTGTTCGTAGATGAGTAAGTTGGAAGTCATTGTTTTATTCTATCTAGTGTTCTTTATCTTCATTTTGCAGCCTATTATTATAAGCTATAATACTTTTTCTCCCTCTCTGCTACCAGTTCTAACTTCACCAATATTCTGTAGGTATACGATTGGATGAACAACAGACCAGAGAGGTTTAGACTATCGGCCAGTGATGCTGCAATTCAGCTTGATCTGATTGCCAAAACACATGGAGTTTCAAGTGCTGAAGAATTTTTCCTTGGGCTCCCTGATAATTTCAAGGACATGAGGATATATGGTGCTCTAATGAATGCCTACGTGAGGGCCAAAATGAGAGAAAAGGCAGAATCTTTAATGGACAAAATGAGAGAGAAAGGATATGCCATTCACCCACTTCCATTCAACGTGATGATGACACTTTATATGAACCTGAATGAGTATGACAAAGTTGACTCTGTGGTTTCAGAAATGAAGGAGAAAGGGATACGGCTTGATATATATTCCTACAACATCTGGTTATCATCATCTGGATCACACAGATCAATAGAAAAAATGGAAGAAGTATATGAAGTGATGAAACTGGATAGAGCAATCCATCCCAACTGGACTACATTTAGTACAATGGCAACGATGTACATTAAGAAGAGAGAATTCAAGAAGGCCGAAGAGTGCTTGAGGAAAGTTGAGGCTAGAATCATAGGTAGGGATCGAATACCTTATCATTATCTCTTGAGTCTATATGGCAGTGTGGGCAATAAAGAGGAAGTCTATCGAGTGTGGAAGATCTACAAATCAGTTTTTCCAAGTATTCCCAATTTGGGATACCATGCTATGATCTCCTCTCTGATCAGGAGCGGGGACATTGAAGGGGCAGAAAAGATATATGAGGAATGGCTTCCTGTTAAGTCATCTTATGACCCTAGGATAGCAAATCTTCTCATGACTTGGTATGTCAAAGATGGAAAATTGGATAATGCTGAGAGTATATTTGACCACATGATTGAAGAGGGAGGAAAGCCAAATTCGAGTACGTGGGAGATCCTTGCCGAAGGCCATATGGCAGAAAGGAAAATTTCTGAGGCTTTGTCTTGCCTGAACAAAGCTTTTGCGGCAGAAGGATCCAAGAGTTGGAGGCCAAAGCCCATAAACATATCAACCTTTTTTAGGCTCTGCGAGGAAGAAGCGGACTCGGCCAGTAAAGGGATGTTTTAGTAAGATTATTGAGGAAACTGTATTATCTTAATAACAGTAACAATGAGGGATGTGAGGTGATTCTCAACCAGCTGCAGGATAATTTATAACACTTATATTGCTACATTTCATGTAGTCAGAAGACGTCATTGTTTAATTCTTAACCCTTGGAAGTTGGAATTTAAAACAACTTCATGAGAGCTTCCATCCCCCTTGCACATTGACGACAAATGTTCAGGTACTAGGTATATATATGTATATGTAATATATTTGGTTGAAATTTATATGATAACTTGATACAAATGGTATTTCGTGATAGGGATTCTGAGTCAATTTTGAACAGGAGCTTGAAGCTGTTTCAATGATCTTAAGAAACATTTTCTTGTAATTTGACTAAGAGAGTCAAGTGAATATGTATCAATTGTTTTCTGATACAGGAGTAGAAGACTATACATATAATTAACTAATAAAAATATTTAAGATTAAGACACAAGTGAATGATTTTAAACATTCTCTAATGCTCTGGAAGGTATATTATGCTTTTGAACTGAGAAGTTTTCTCAATTGGGGATGAATCTTATTACTCCTGATGAAGAAATAAAAAGACTGAGATACCATACCTTAAATTACTTGTAAAGGATGTCTCATTTCCCTAAAGATCAAAAGATTCAACAGATATGCCTTATTCAAAAAAAAAAAAAAAAAACATTTTGATTCCCAAAGTTCGTTAGGAATTATATACATTATATCTGTATGTGTAGTATAGCCAAGCCATTGTGATCCGACCGATGTAACATGAGCTTAATTTTTTTTTTTATATAGAATTATAAAAATATAACAGGTAATATAATTATTAAAATTTTTGTATAATAGTTAAAAGTCGGCTAGAGTTTAAACTTATAGAGTTTACTAGCACGAGTTATTAATATTTTAGATTTATAATATTTAATTTAATAAAATTAATTATTTTATTTACGAAATTGAAATAAATTATTTTTTAAACAAAATGAACATTTCAAATGGATGGATAGATTCTTTTAATTAAAAATAGAGATAACTTAATAATATTTATTAAAATCGAGTGAAATATACTATATTAAAAATGTGTTATTTAGAGTTTTACTTACAATTGCAATGCATTCATAAACATTTTAAAATAATTTTTTAAGTTTCATATTTAATTGTAATTTAAAAAAATTATACGTTTAGAAGTAAATCACAATGTAGTTAGTCTATGATTTACATAAGATATTATTATGACTCCAGGGAGAATGGAGTAGGTTTAAATTAGGGCTTTAGGAGAGAAAATGTTGATCCATATCATGTAAATTCTACTACTCCCCGAGTTTTTCTTCTATTTCTCTTTAGATATATATATATATATATATATTGTTACCGACTTCTTTCTGTTTTTTTATCCATCTGGAACTTTTAAGACCCCTAATGGTCACAACATTCTCTCACCACCTTCAAGGGTTTATAGACCAGCTCGCCAACCATGACCGACCATCATACTCTCTATATACCTTCCTGGTATCACTGGCTACCAAGATTGAGTTTGTTCCAATTAATATTAGTTTGAGATTTGTTTGGAACGAATTTGTATCCAAGAAAAATATAAATCTAAGTCTTTCTTCAAATCTTCTTCTCAAATCAGGATCCATCTATCCTGACAGTTTTACATAGTAAATACATATATATTTAATACCAAAGTGCAGGCATTCAACCTGGTTGAATCTGAAGATTATACTCGCCTTCATCCAACCACATGGTAAAATAACATAATACAACTCTGTCAAGGACCAGAAAATTGTAAGGAATTTTTTGGTTATCTCATCTACAGAAATGGAAAAATAACTAAATTTATTGAATTAGTGTGTAAATAAGTGAAACCAAACCATATCTTTCATTCCTACCTTTAAACTGTATCTTTCAGAATTGGCCAATCTAAAAATTAAAAATCCCACACATTGGAAATTAACAGGGGAAACATGAAAACTCAAGTATTCTAACAATCAAGAAAACAATCTCCAATAAGAATCACAAAGCAAAGAGATTATTATTTCAGACACACTTTTGTTCTCAGATTGCGGCAATAGTTTTCAGCCATTTCAAGTGACAGAAAGTTGTTCTCACACATTGGAAAAAGGACCTTTTACCTAAGCACCACGATTCCCAGAAATTGTTTAACATTTCATAAGATTATATAATAACATTTCAAAGTAAATTACTACACAATATTATCAAATTACCACAAAATCTTATAAGATTATCTCGGAGACTTGACTGCCCCCGGAGAAGCACCATAGATTTTTCCTATAAACACAAGGAAGAGAATTCCTATAAACCCACCAAACTACTGAAAACCTTCATTCCCGGATAATGCCCCCGGAGAAGAACCATAGATTTTTCCTATAAACATAAGGAAGAGAATTCCTAACTACCGAAAACCTTCATACCCGGATATAAATCAAATATACTCAACAATCACATTTCCTCTTAGATTTGAGTTGTTCAATTCTTTCATTCCTGAACTTCATCATTCTTATCCTCACCATCACTATTACTAAACTTCCAGTGCTAAGACATACATCATAAATTTCTGCAGGGTCAGAATCCAGTAAGTAAAACACAAAGCACAATCACAAAAGGCAGTGAGAACAAAAGAAGATATATGCCCTGTCTCAAACAGACAGCAAATCTACAAATAAACAAATATAGAGTTGAAAAGGATGAAAGTAAAAATCAGAAGGCAAAACACTGAAACAGGCAATTACAGCTAATTCTAGGTCCAGAGTCCTCAGAAAGAAACTAAACCTACAAAAATTAAAACTAGCATTAGTAAACTTACATATCCACCTCTCCCCCAATCTCATTTCTCAATCCATTTCTAAGAATCCGGTGATGGCATTCTTTTTGGTTTCTTCCTCTTCTCGGAGAAGGCCTTAGCAAAGGCCTCCACAATCCGCTGCTGAGATTCTAATATCATTTCAGTCCTCTTCATCTCCATTTCCATCCTCATCGCCTCCATCTCCCTTGCCATCTCCATCTTCATCTGCTCCATCCTAACAAACCCATCTCCTAGCAACTTTATTGCACCTACCATCTCCGTCATTGGATCACTCTCCTTCTCTCTCTCCCTTTTCCCTCCTAGTCCCGATCTCCCCATCTCCTCGCAACCCCTCAAAACTTTCGTGGCATAATTGGATCCAGCCCCGAATCCCACCTTAGGATTTGAGTTAGGGCTAGAATTAGCATTCGAATTAGAGATACCAGCGTATTTCTGATCAATCTTCCCGTAAAATCTTGGCCCAGGTTGGGCTATACTTACACCTGTAGGTATTCTAATTCTAAACCCAGTACCTCCACTACTACTACTACCCCCACCACCAACAATCCCATTCCGATTATACAACCTTTGCATGCTCCTAGTGTTAACAACACCACCACCATTTTTGTACATATCATCATACAAATCCTGATCTAGATCATCTTCCTCGTCTTCATCATTATCTTCATCTGGACTATCCGAATTGTAATCAGGCTTCGCAGACGGTCCTTTCTCCATGGCATCCATGCGCTTGAAGTGCACCCAGGAGGAAGAAAAACGGGATATCGGCATAGATCTGGCTCGCTGGATCTCAGCACGGTACCTCTTTCGGAGCTTCTCCATCTTGTGACGACACTGCACGGCAGTCTTAGGCGGGGAAGCCGCGGGGCAACGGCGGGCGACGGCATCGGCAACCTCTTGCCAGTGCGTAGCCTTGAGATTCCCACGCCTCAGGGTATACCACTTATCGCGGTACGCATCGATGAGGGCCACGGTCTCGTCGTGGGACCAGCACGGTGGAGGAAGACGTCGTGGGTTGGTGGAGGGTGCGGCAGTGGTGGTAACCGCGGCGGCGACGGCGGAACCATCGGCGGCGATGGTGACAATACCCGGAACAGAGGTGGAAGCTGGTGGTGTGATTTGAGGTTTAGGCGGTGATGACTGAGTCGGCGTTGGTGAAGGATTTGGAGGAGGAGGAGGAGGAGTAGGGTTTTGAATGGTTGGTGATGGCGGAGCCGACATTGGATTTAGGTAAACAATGGTGGCCGTGGGAGGATATTAGGGTTAAGAAATAGTAAAGAAGGTGGTGGCGGTGAAGACGGTCAGGTTTTTTTAAAAGGCGTGCGCGAAGGATAAGGTAGGCGGCGCAAGTTAGCAAGAGAAGGAAATAAAAAGGTGGTGGTGGTTTAGGAGGAGACGAAAAGAAAGAAGAGAAGGTGGTGGAAGAAGGGTTTGGTGACATATTGAATGGGTAGTGGTGGTGGGGTGCTAAAAGAGTGGGGGAGGGGTGTGCGGCTGATTTTGAGATCTAGATGGATGAGACCACCGCTATGACGGAAGAGATAATACTAACGTGCGCCGTGGGTGATGGTTAGAGGGTGAAGTTCTCTGACTTTGTGGGTTGGGATGGTGGCCATAAAAACAATCATTAAATTGTTTTTTTGGGGAGGGAGGGGGGGAAGTGGTTTCGGCCTTGCTTCGTTTTAGGGAGGGGGAAAAGAAAGAGTGGTTGTAAAATGTAATTTGCTTGGTGGGTTGACCAACTCTTTTTCCCCTTGCCTCGCTGACGTCAGTATTTATTTTCTTTCAATATATAATTATATGCACAAACATTTATATATTACGTATGTACATATGATTAAATGAATTAAATTGGTGGAAAATTATATTCATATAAGTTAATTAATTGTGAAATAATTGATAATGTTTGATGATACGATCTCAAAAGTTATATATTATTTACATGTGCGTATGATATATAATATATTTATAATTAAATTGGTAAAAGAAATACGTACGTCTAATCAATTAATTGGTAGTGTTTGATACTAATGTTGTCTAACTTTGTGTGTGTAGATATGTATGCACATGTACAGTATTCTTGCCAATTAACTTATAATTTATTATTATTATTTAACAATTAGCGGACGCCGAAGATAAATTAATTCATAATTCTTTTTTTAATTAGGAGAAAAAAAAAAGATAATTATCAAATAATCAGCTTTGGTTTTGATTATATTTAAAATAAATAAATTTTTCAATAAAAAAAATATTTATATTATTATTGTTATAATTAAATAAACCTAATTGTTATATAAAATTAAAAAAAAAATGTGAGTATAAAAATTTTAACTACTATATTAGTAGAATATGTACATCAACCACTAAATTTGTTTATTTTGAGTAATTAGTATTTCATGTGAAGAGATATAAAAAAAAAAAAAATTTGCATGAAATAACCAACTATTAAAGTATTTAGGTACTTTCAAATTGTCGAGCTAATAAATCAATTATTTTCTTTTTTACATCCTAAATATGAGACTATGTCAAGGAAAGATTTGAGGTGTATTGGCCTTACCATAATATGGCCAAATGGCATGACGATCCATTCACATAACCTTTTCCTTGTCTTTAACACGGTCTTCCAATGCCTTCCACCACAACCACTTGGTGATATCCCGACTTCAAGTCTATCTCGGTGAAGTAACGAACTCCTTCAACTAGTCAAATGGGAATTAGACATTTGTCTTTGGTAAAGGATTCTAAGGTACGATTATTAAAGATTGTTAAGAATTTTTAGATTATTTAAACATTATGTCTTTAACTATAATAAGATTTTTCAAATTGTAATTGAACTTTGAAATAAAAGACTTATTGGTCTTACGGAAAAGAAAAAGAATTTAAAGCTTTAAAAAGCAAAAAAAAATTTGTTATGACTTTTATCAATTATTATTTTGTATCAAATGCATAATTTTTATTTCTAACTAGTTTGTCTTGTATATTTAGGATACTTTTTCATAAATATAAAATA